CTCCTAAACCCTCATAAACCAGTAAAGTAAAACTAGACTATAAACTACCTATAAAACCTATACAACCAGGATACCCACCCCCTGTAAAAATGCCAGTTGCATCAACAAGGACTATCCAAAACCATAAAGAATAACAGTTCTCGTGATCAGTCGATTCTTACACGTGGTTAATCGTATCGAACACAAATGCGTGGCTAGAGTCAACGAAACAGCGTACGTTTCTAATACAAATGCGTGCAAGACTTGCAAACGCTATGGCAAACGTCCAATCAGGCCCCTTCAGGCCTTCTTATCTTGGGAGGGGACCAGGCCACGCGAGGCCCCTCGACCCTCTCTGTACAATTCCCTTCAAAAGTATACGATTTTCTATCCTCAATCGCGCATCAAACATTCTAGAGACGTTACCAACGCTAAAATTCCTAGCGTGCTTCTACTCGAGATGAAAATTTCTCTGTACGTCATACGGTAAATCCGAAGTACCTACATTTGCTCTTTATGTCACTGCCAAGGTTCGATTACATTTACGATTGTTATGTAATTGATAGTCAAGTATTTTTTAATGGAGAATCGAAATGCTTATGTAATTGAAGACAATCTAATTTTTAATTCAAGGCTTTAAGGATTTTGCAATCTTTATTAGAGCCTTTTAGGATTAATGTTTTTTGCGGTGGAGTGAAAGTTTGTGTAACTGGAAGTTTGGAAGTTGATTAATATGGAGGACTAAAATTTGTCTTTTAGTTGAATTTTGAATGAGGGAAATTTTGATGTATGAGGTAGTAATTTGGATTGACCTTAAACTGTATTGATTATAAATAATAAATGCAGTAGCAATTGACTTTTATGTTATTAATTGAATTACTATTTGCATTAATGAATAAAATTTTATTTATTAAATTTATTTAGTAATAAGTGTCTGTTGACGTTAAAAATGTAGAACAGAATTATGAATAAATAAAAATTAAGTTTCATGTATGACTATAATTCTTTAAGTTAATAATTTGAATTGACCTTCTTAAATTCTTTTAATATTAAATAATAAATGCAGCAACAATGGAATGACATTTATGTTATTAATAGATTTATCATTGACATTAATGTGCATGAATATGATTTTATTTGTTAGATTTATTTAATTTATTAAATATAATATGTTATACAAAATGAGATTACTAATAAATGCCTATTATTATTGTTAATTTAATTTGAAACTGTTAATATGATCTTAAGAAAAATTGAATTCTAATCATTAATTTTTTAAAATTATTATTACCTATTCGAATTATTTTTTATTTCACTTTCTAAATAAATAAGATTTTCATCATTTATCCAATCATTTTTTTGCAATATTACCATAATTCAATGAATGTTACCAGTTTCTAACTTGAATTTTTCGTGACACTTGCGCGATAGGTTATGTTTCCCTAAAAATGGCGTCGTGCAACTACAGTTAATCCTTTAACTCGACATAATTTTACATTTGCAACGATATTCACATTATTGAGCACAGTTTATATTAAATTATTATGCACACCCTCTGTGTGAATAATCAGATTGGAATTTATATCGGATTAAAATGTGTATCACTGCTCTAATAATACACTTAACTATGCAGCTGTATCGTAATTTATGTCTGCAATCGTTAACACCTCTGTAAATATAACGCTTACTAAGTTGCAACGATTTACATAATTCATTTTGGAATTTTAGAATGAAATTAGAATTCTAAATTGTTATCAAGGTTATATTATTGAAGGTATTTTTTATTAGAATAAGTTTATTGTGGCAAATGTATATATTTACCATCGCTGAAAATTTTGTGATAGAATAATTATGAGAGACAAAAATGGCGAATGTTAATTTTTATTCAAATTTATTTACAACAAAATATTACAAAGAATTTTTTAAAGCAATATATACTTTTTAAAAAATTATATACTTATTTTTTAAAAGAATAGATATATATTATTTAAAAAATTGTATGACAATTTGTTTTTAATTTTATATCTGTTTCATAAAAAAAAATGTACATCTGCTTTTTAAACCAGAATTACACATCTACTTTGTACATTTACTTTTTCAAAATTATATATCTACTTTAAAGAACACATATTTATTTTCTAAAAAATTGTATATCCATTTTCCAAAAGACTTTATTTTAAAAAGAAAAATAAAGCATAAAGTTGAAATCCGCATGATGAAATTTTGTGAGTAATTTCACGATAAAATCTAAGATCCAATTTTTCTCAAAATCTTCGATCGTTATTGTCCTAAATACTTAAATCCCTAAAATGCGGCTTACGGTGAATAATGGATTAGATACTTTCGTAACTCGTAAATTTTGAAATTTTATCTAGGGTTCGCAGAAGTGAGCATTATTTTTACGGATTAAAATCGATCGATTGAACAGACAGAAAATAATCGTATAGATAGTGTACGGTTCAGCCAGTTGGTGGACACAATCTGGTTTTTAGGCGCGGCTATGGAGCGTCTACAAGACGGTGGCAACCGACTGCTTCAGTGGAAATTTCCATTGCAGTTGGCATGCTGTGTGGTGTGATTGTACAGTCCACCATAAAAGTAACCACTTCTGTTATTTCAATCTTTATAGCACATTTGTAATCGCTTTTATAATACCAATGAGTGTTTTTATGGTTTCATTAACCTTTTGTGATGAAGAATTTGTGCAAATATATAATTTATATTTTCATTGCAAATAAACGTATTTTATAACCAATCACGTGTAACAAATATTTTAATAATTTTCGTTTCAAATTTTATTAATTTTAACAAATCAATCAATTGTTATTATTGAATACATTGTAATTAAACTACTTTATTGCACATTTTGAAATATGTAATGTAAGTGTATTTCTCATACTTGGTGAGAATTTCTTAATGTCATAACACAATTTTAAAAATAGAATTTTTGTCCTTAAAATAGTGAAGCTTGTTTAGTAATATAGATACCAGTATTAATAAGAAAATAGAAAACATAAATAGGAAAAGATTATAAAATGTGAAGTATTATAAATTATTATTCAGGTAATAATTTCATTTGTTATTAAAATATTTATATAAAGTCAAATTTTAATATTTTCGTAACTTCAAAAGTTATTAATCTTTTTACTGAAATATGTGTCTACATCCCCGTGGTGAGGCACATAACACCACGAATAATTGATGTATATAATACATATTCCTCTCATTCATAAATTATTTAAACTAACAATTTAATGTACTATTTTTGTTTCATTTTTATACTCGTTATAAGACTTATAAATGATACATATATATATTTTACTAGCTTAAGTGTTAACTATCATTCGTTACCATTAACAGAAAAGATTGAACTTTCATCTCTTTAAAGTATTTCATTACAAATCATGAATACATTATAATTAAACTATTCCACAGCATGAACTTAATTTCTAGGTGTGTTGGTACTTTCCCCACAAGTTGAGTTTCAGACAAAGTACACTCGAGTGTAAATTTGGCTTGCCTGGGGAAAATGGCGGTCGAGGGGAAGAGGTCTCCACCGTAGCACCGGTACATTGAAACGCTTTATGCCTATTTTACAGGAATCAATAAATACTGAAAATTTCTCAGATACTTTTCAAAGTAAACTAGTTTTTTGTAACACGATATGAAGAAGAATTGCCAAGAAATTAATTGGAACAGTATTTTGCAAGTTACTATGGCTGGTTTTTAAAATTCATAAATTAATCGCGCTCTTTCTGAAATGATCTCACTGACGCCATCTTGCGATGAAGTAAAGATCCACGAAAACAACAAATTTCGTATTTTTAGATAATAACATATTTTTATTTGTTGACACCCAAAAATTGTTTTCGTAAAAATTCGATGGATATTAATTTTATTGATTAATATCCTGTACATTTATTATGTATTTATTAATATTGATTTTATGCTGTTTGCAATATATTCCGTGAGTCCGAAGATGCGGATTATGTGTTCAGAACAATTCGCACACTGTACTGTATCTCGTCGATGATGTAGGGAACAACCTAAGAATATCAAAAAATTTTCTTTCGAGTCGCTAAAAACCATTCTCATAAAATCTTCTTTTACAAAAAGGAGCTTATTTGCAAAATTTATTCGATACCGTAGCATCACGGTTTTTCGAAGTTTCGCCTAAAATTTTGTTAATTGCATGGACTTAAAAATGCGTAGACACCTAGCGGTGAAAGGTAGAGAACTGATCGAACTAAATTACAAACGCAATTTTTGAAGTAATTTATTTTCCCAACTTATTAATGTCTGTAGAATATTCTTAGATCATTTCACAACAATATTTGAAGGATATTGTAACATATTAACACGATAAGATGAATATTTTTTAAGCTAAAGTATTTCAAAGTAAGTCCATTAGTTCTCATCATCTACCGCTAAACATTTTGACGTTCATAGAAAACAATTTAAGAAATTTATGAATATGATACTTCAACTCCGTTATACAGCCATATACTTAATATTATGATACTCACAGAACAATTTGCAAGGGTCAGCAAAACTTAAAAATACCTTATTTTATAAAGAAACGCAATTCTCTGTCAATAGTTCCATACTAGGACACTAGATGACACTAACGGTATTCTTTTCAGACAGCGCATGCGAAAATATAAATTTTTAAATATATATAAGAATAAAACTTGAAACGTAAACAACTCTTCAATTTAATTGCTTTACAATAAACTATTGTCATTTATATCTTTTCTGCTATCAAACTTTAATAACTAAATTACAATATAAAATGCAATATTATGAAAAACGTTCTGATGTAATTTCTAGCATCACCTTTCTGAAATCTAAAGTGTGTAATAAAATAGTTTTCTTTCAAAAGTATGTTCTTGAGAAAATAGTATTATTCATCATTGTCGAAAATACCTGTCGTAATTTAGGTATAATGCGTGTCAGTATGCACCTATTATTGCGGATGTTCGAACCTGTTCCCCTTGACTGCCATTTTTACCCAAGAAAACCAAATTTCCTCTTGTGTTTTAAAAAGGGAGGTACAGGTGTACCACACTTCTAATATAAAATTTCAATTTGATCAGCTGTTCAATACTAATTATAAACTAACAACCAATCAGTTGATAGAATATTGAGATAGTATAATATTCTAATAAAAGGTTACTGTAGTAAATTTACTCTAGAACGCAGCAAGAAACATCGAGTGTTACGTGTTTTATCAAAAATTCTTATTATATATTTGAGTAATGCTTTTATGCATTCGTTTGCTATGCATTGAAAGCAGTATCTTTCCGAACACAACCTGGCTGTACGATTCAAAATTAACAAACTTTGAACTTTTCAACAAGGAAGTGTTATTCTTTTTCCTGCTTTTCTTAGTAACAAATGTAAATAAGGTGTAAAAAATTGACCTTATTGCTGACTCAGCGTATCGAGGACTGAATTTTATTCATGTGGACGCTTCTTATGTTAAGGTAACCGCGATACGAAACAATCGATCCACAGCGTGTCATAAAAATAGTGAAATAAGAACTATAATATACTCGATGTTTATACGTGTTATTCGAGAAAGACGATATTCACGTTGATCAGTCGATTCGAATAGTATTTTCGAACTAATCTCTACGTTTGATCAACGATAGACTGGGTTCTGTTCAAAAATATCAAATTGTCTAAATACGTATCGCCTGCCACGCAGCTGTATACAACATAATGCATCGATATGATGTCCATGTTATTGTTAAATTATTGTTTTTCGACTGGAGTAACTTCGACAGTACATTTTAAAAAGAAAAGGAATCGCTTGCCGACACGAGTGCGATGAGTTACATGTGCGAATGTCAAAAACGATCTCATCATGTAGTTTCACGGACAGCTGGAGGAGATGTTTGGTATATTCAAAATTCTATTCAGTTTAGTGAAATTCGATGTTTTTGATTGGACATCAGTGTTTATTTTGAAAAGAATTGTATCAAGCAACAAGCATTAAAATGTCTACATTAAAACTGAGTATGCAAGACAAAAAGGACTTGGACAAGTTCACCAAATTTTTGGCATTGAAAGCAGCTCAAATTATAGTGCAATCGAGGTCAGGTGAAAAGGTCAGCACAAAGTGCAAGCCAAATTCATCTGGAACTGATTGGGTAAGCGCGTCTCTTTTGTAATTGCTTTAAACTTAGGAACCATTAAGTTATAAGTGTACCATTATCTCCTACTTAAAACAGATAATTTCTCTAGTGCTAATTTAACATGTTCGAAGAACCTATTGTCATAGTACGACAGTATATAGATTATTGTACTGTCATGTACATTTTAAATCAATTCCAATTTATGTAAGAATAAAAATCTTATATTTTATACATTTTTACCTGTTTATATATATGTACTTGATCTTTTTCAAACTGTATCTCAAGCGAAATGTCTCTTTAAGAAACATTTAATTTCAATCTTACATAAAAGTATATGCAAACTTAGAAATGACCAATGTAGGTTATCAATTACTGTTACAATATTATTTAAGATTATATTAACTATGATTGTTTCATCAACATGTTTACAGTTTTCTACATATGTATCCTTTCATTGTATAGTTCAACCTAGCTATTCATGATCTACCAGAAGTTTTGGCAGAGGCTAAAAGGGCACTATGTGGAGAAATAATAAATTCAACTATACCTCTTTGCATTGAAATTTCTCTGAGAACCGTTGAGGGTGACACAATGGTTTTGGAAACATGGAGTCTTGGTGTTCTACCAGAACACAGTGATCCTACTGTGAGAGTAACATACACGATATATAACAGAATGGGTATTTTATTGAAATCATTGTTGTCCGTATCAAGAATTACCCCAGCTTATAAATTGAGTAGGAGGCAAAGTCCAGATTCCTATGTTATTTGTTATAGAATTTATATGGGAGAACCTCAGTTACATACATTAGGTATTTAAATTACTTAATGTTACTTGTTTTCCTTAAAAGGTTTTACATTACTATAATACAATAATTTTACTCTTGATATTAAGCATATTCCTTCTACCATATTATGTTATAAACTATATCAATATCTTTTTTCTATAGGCGATAATTACAAACATGTGAGAGTAGGTCAGTTGTGTACACCTGTGGGTACAATTCATTTATCAGTATCATATAGAACAAAAATGACTATATCTCCTACTCATACTGGCCGTGATTCGATAATGTTAAAGAGCGATCATTTTCATTCTGATTTAAGTCCTCGTCATGCAAGATATCAACAAAGGTGAGTTAATTATTTCACATGAAAATTGATTCTTACCATTTTAATTTGTATAAAATTTAAAATATTTACATGATATTTTCTGTGTATTTTAGTGAAGAAACATCAAAATCGCTTAGTGATACTATTAAAGTTGGAGCCTTTGTAGTAAATAAGCCTGTTACTGTTAATGAAGAGGATTTTGTTATACCAGATGTACCTTTTAGTTCATTGCTAACTCCTAGACAAACGTCACCTCCTCCAGCTTCTGTAGCTGAGACTACAACTACAAAGACTGCAGTAACGGCAACTATAACAGATAGCAGTAATGGAAATAATGAAAGACTTACAAATGATAATACAACGTCGAAATGCAACTCTCAAAATGGGTCAAGAAGAAGCAGTTGCTCAATGACCAGTGCCAACGACGATTTTATTATGGTAGATTTGGTAATTAACGTTCCTACCTTTATGGTGCACAACAGATATTTGATTTATCTAAACAGTTGAAAAATTATAATTGCAGAAAACTCCTTTTGCCGTGACAAACACCAACAGCGATTTAGGAGCATTCTATCGCGAATGTCAGAGCGCACCGCAACTTCAAGCTTTTATGGAGGAAAGGACACTTGCAGAGCAAGTAGGAGACCTTACCAAACAGCTGGAAACATTTGAAACAAATATGCGGCGGTATGAGGATATTCTGTCGTCATTATGTCAAAGTGAAAATAATAACTAATGTCAAAATCAAACAATGCAATGTTAGGTGCTTGAATGAGAAATGTTAATATATATACAAGCTGCGTATAGTATTTCACCATAAATTTATGCGATTTTCATCACATACATTACAATATTTGGACAGCATTTCAATAAAATTTTTAGCCAAGTGCTTATCGATGCTTATGATTATTTATGAATAAATTGAATTAAAAAATTTGCTGAAAGATCTATTTATAAAGTATAAAAAATAAAAATGGGTCAACTATATTACCGATGTATGTGCATTTGGCTTTATGCGATATAGATTATTCTTTCTTATTTTTTGACGATTTTTTTGGCATATTCTTTTTGTTGCAATATGAGTTATCAAAGCTGTTTCATTTTAAATTACTGTAAATTATTTTTTCATATTCTTCACTTGCATAAATTGATATCATGAAATTTATTGTAAGTCTAATATGTTGTTAAATAGTTCGTTAACATGACACGAACCTAACGAACAATGTCAACGATGGTTAGTTAATATATTTTGAAATTTCAATTAATTTATTGCTTGTACATAGTGTAAATTGTACTTTAGCATTATAATATTGATTGCTGATTATGAAACAATTATATAACTTTTTCATGTTTGATTATTCCAACCACTTAATAAATCAGGCTGTGCTGGTAATTTGTGTAAATATTTTATGCTTAAGATGTTACGTACAATTCCTAATTATGATTGTTTACTCAGTCACTTTTAGTTATAAGATACTGTCCTTGCACTAATAAAAAATTGTAAAACGTTGAGAGATTCAACTGTTTCTATGTAAATACATTTTTAATATTATTATATTTAAAATATAATTTTAATAATTACGAGAACAATTCTTTTATTCATTTTAGTTTTAATAACAAAAATTTGTTGAGTTTACTAAACATCATTTGATGCAAATTATTATTATTATTCAACCTGTTACAATAATTCATCGATTTTAAACGATACAAGGAAAAAAAGTTATCAAAATTACCAGCTGTGAATATTACATCTTTGTAAAAAAAATTTTTTTTTCAAATTAACAAATTAACTGCAATTCTCATTTCATTATCAGTAATAATTAAAAATACAACAATCCTTAGCTTATACAACTCCAATGCGATTCACTTTATAGGTGCTTTCGAATAATTCCAAACATCGAAGTAAGTGAATATTGTCTTTTGAATTATAATAAATGAAGGAAACATGGCGGACTCAGCGGGCAATTGGTGTCTTATCGAAAGTGATCCAGGAGTTTTCACAGAGTTAATAAAAGAATTTGGTAAATTTTAATTTCTTATTTTATAAATTTGTTATATATACATGCTTTGAAACTAATATGCGTATATTTATGTTGCAAACATTTACATTAATAGGTGTTTTGTGTGGTTACATTTTGAAGTAATATTTTAAGCTAAAATTAAGTAATTTTAATGTTGTTAATAGGTTTTTTCCTTTTTAAGGCGTTAAAGGCGCTCAAGTAGAAGAACTATGGAGTTTAGATGATGAACAATTTGATAACTTAAAGTAAGTGTTCAATTTATATGATATAACCTATAATTGAATACAATGACAGCATTAAATGACAGTTTTATGTAGAATGACTATTTTATTTTCAAGACAAATTCAGTACGCAAACAGCAATTGACGATAAACAGTTTTTAATCAATATTTATGTAGAACAAAATTAAGTCTGATTTCGAAAATTGAATATACAGTTAATACTCACAAATGTGAATTTATACATGTTTCTATTTTTTCATTTACTTTTTTAGACCCATTCATGGTTTGATATTTTTATTCAAATGGGTGCAGGATGATGAACCTTCTGGAAGTATTGTTTTAGATAATAGGTTGGATAAGATATTTTTTGCAAAACAGGTACCATTTACAGTTTACATCAAGTGTTATATCTTCACAATTTATAAAGTATAGTATAATGTAAATTACTGATTTTTATACCTTCTAGGTGATAAATAATGCTTGTGCAACTCAAGCCATATTAAGTGTACTACTAAACTGTAAACATTCTGATATATCATTGGGGCCAAATTTGGAGGAATTCAAAAATTTTTGTCAAAGTTTTGATGCTAACATGAGAGGTCTTGCTCTTAGTAATTCAGATGTGATAAGAGAAGTACATAATTCTTTTTCAAGGTATTTCTTAGATTTTTATTGGTAGCATAAAATGTGAATTATTTGAATCATATAAAATAATGATTCTTTATTCCAGACAAACATTGTTTGAGTATGATTCAAAGCAAGCGTCCAAAGATGATGATGTCTTTCACTTTGTTAGCTATGTACCTATTGATGGACGTTTATATGAGTTAGATGGATTGAAGGATGGACCAATGGATTTAGGACCATGTCCACCTGGGGATCAGTGGGTTCAAGCAGCAAAACCAATAATACAGAAAAGAATAAATAAGTAAATGCTTTTTACTATTAATTTTTTATTTTTTGTATTTTGCACGTTATTTATATAATCGATATTTGTAGATATAATGAGGGAGAAATTCATTTTAATTTGATGGCAATAGTAACGGATAGAAAGACGCTTTACGAGCGACAAAAAGCTACGGTTTCTGATCCAGCAGAGTTAGAGCGTTTGCAAACATTAATTGAAAAGGAAATTCGAAAGTCTAAACGATATCAGATCGAAAATATTCGAAGAAAGCACAATTATTTGCCATTAATAATGGAGTTACTTAAAATGCTTGCCAAGGAAGGTAAACTAGTACCATTATATCAAAGAGCAAAGGAAAAGGCAGTGGAAAAAGAGTCCAAGAAGAATAAAGCTTAAACGCCAATATTGTGAATGTATGAGAAACACGATGGAATGTATGTATAATGTATAAACATCGGTAAATAAATAATCATATCTTTTTAAAAAAATGTGTAAATACAAAATAGAACTTTTTATTTAGAAATATAAGAATTATAACTATTATAATTTTACAGATAAAATTCTAAATTAAAATTCAAATGCATGCAATATTTTTTACAAACTTTGTATTTACCGCATTTTGAGTAGACTTAATTAATATTCACTTAGGTCCATATCCACAACTTTCACTTCTCCATTATCATATGAAAGCCTAGGTAGGAACTTATCAGTCAATTCATTTTGTATCTCAGCTATCCTCTCCTTGTATAAATATTTATTGATTCCTACAAAAGTAAAAAATTATAATTATTATTGTAGAAACAAAATTTTATATTAATAATTATTTAACTTTGTGAACTTACTGTGAAAATTCTTTGTAGCAAGTTTTATACCAGCCTCTGCTACAAGGTAATAAAATGTTCTACATAAAAATATGGTAGTGATACCGTCAAAGTGTTTTGCAACATCGGGCCAAATTATTTCTCGCGTATGTGCAATTCCTTTTGTGTATATGCTACAATATTTTTTATGTGGTTAGTGAAAACACTATATTAAAATTTGTATTTATCGTACTAAAAATTATTAACTTACTATTCAATCAGTTTTATCTTTATATCATTTAAATAAATAGGCTCTGGACAAAATAATTGCATGTGCAACTGATGTATCCAGTACATTTTCAATACATTTTGTTCTATATTTAATTTTTCTTCTAATTTTTGCCAAATTACTTTTGGAATAGTTGCATCTTTTAAATCAATTAATTCATCACACAATGTTATATCCATAAGACATTCTATAAATTTGGCAATTAAAGGCAATGTCCACTCAATATCTTTTAATGCTGTAATAAAATTTATTTTCAATTTTATTGTATCCATTTTATTAATAGTTTTGTTTCTTAAAAGACACTTACGCTTTTTCTCTTTATCTTTCTCTATTTTTCTTAACAATTGGTAACGTAACCAAATGGAATGGTGCGAACGTCCTAATTCCCTAGCTAATTCACAAAATCCTGAGTTTCTATTGTTTTTTGGTTGTTTATTTTTCATGTAAGATAAAATTTTATAATCTTCGTCCAATGAATATCTATGAATATATCAGATTATAGCAAACAACACTAATGAAAAACATTAAAATTTTTAATAGAAATCACCTTTTATAATTTTTGTCACGATTAAATTGTAAATACTTGAATCTATTATAAACACTGAACAATGATCTCCATGGTAATCCATTTGCTAAAAATTGAAGGAAGTTTATCCTCTGTTCTTTGCTTCTCATATAAAATGATTTATTGTTTTTTAAACAAATAAATGGCTTTACATGTTTAGGATCCCAGCTATGAACCTATATAGAAGGAAACTTATTAATAAAACAGAACCATTATAATATCAATTATACATACTTCACAAAATTTTTTCCAATTATGTAAAATGACTTTATCTTCATTAGGAGTAAATACTCCTTTTTTAATTGGACCATATTTTAAAAATTGTAGCCTTTCTGTTTTAGATATTCCTCTTGAGGCTGCTCTTTGTTCAATTTTATGTTGGTTTGGTACAACATGTATAAGTTGTACTTTTAAATTATATAATTTCTGTAAAAATAAATAACATAATCAATAGAATAAAATACATACAATGTATTTTATTTAAACTTGTTTACTTTTATAGCCTCTTTAGGTATTTTATCACTCTCTGTTTCTGTTTCTAAATCAATATCCAATTCTCCTAAAATATCCTTTAAATCATAGGTATCTTTATCCTTGACTTTTAGTTCTTCAGTAAGCTCTTTATTACCATTTAATTGCAAGCTTGCTTTACTTGCACTACGAGTCCTTCTTACATGGATTTTGTTTTTATGATCAACATCTTCATCAACTGTCTTACATTCTTCTTGGTTTTCAATAAAAAGAGGATCAACTAGTGGATCTTTGGACATTTCTACATTATATTCATTGTTCATGGTACTGTTAACTGTTGAGGTAAAAATATCTGCAGGCACTTTAATGTCTTCAAAATCCATTACAGAATTTAAATCATGCAACATATCAATAGGTTCCATATCGGGTAAAACATTATTACTTAAATCTGATTTAAACGTATCGGACAACTGATCATAATCACTAAGATTAAGACTACTTTTTCTCTTTTTTCGACTGCTAGGTGTATTACTACTTAAATTATATTTTCCTTTCTTTGATGATATAGGTGTTTCTAATAAAGATTTAATAGTCTGAGAATTCCATTCCATCATACTTATACCTGAAATGAGAGGACTAAAAACATCAGGACTGTTCACATTTTCCTTTTTAACACTTCCTGCATTTAAATCATCAGATACAATATTCTTCTTTGGAGTTTTACATAATTCTTCTAATTTACGAACACTAATTATTGAATTTTGACTATCATTCTTTGCTTTAGTATCTTTTTTGCTGTATTTTACATTTGTATTTTCCTCATTAGATATATTGTTAAATGTAACACTGTGCCTTGGACTTCGATGTTTTTTATTATCATTAGGTGTATTTAACGTATCCTTTGTAATAGTGTTTTGTATACACGTTTCAGCTTTTTTGTCAGTATATTTCACAGATCTATCTATTTCTTCAAGTAATTCATCATTTATCGCATCGTCATCATCAGATATACTCGGATTTCTTTTTCTTTTTCTATACAAGTTGACACGCTTTTTATACAATTTCGATACAGGCATACTGATTTCTGCAACAAGTATATATTTAATTCTACTATGAATATTGTATATTATCCCTGAATATTAAGTAATAATTGCAGAAAGCTGTAAATTTTTAATTTTGCTTCATATATATTCTAAAATAAAGTTAAATATGCAGCAATACATTATTTGAAATGTTTAAACCTTTAATTATAGATTTAAATAAGAAAAATGTTCTGTATTACCGTCAAATAACAAAGTATACTGTTAACATTTGTAATCGTTACGCATTGATATATGCGCAAGGTTATGTTCCGTTTATTGATTAAAAACGTATGAAACACATGCAATAAATAGCGCACAAGCATGCAATAAACGATGTAAAATGTTGTTCACATGAATTTTCTTATTATCTACGCACCGATCACGATATTCCTAATCGGCAGTCTCGTTCGCCATGTGAATGGTGTGCGAACACCTTCAATAACTGGCGGTCAAAATAAAACACTTTAAAGGAAACATCCTATTCGTTGGTTTCAAGAAACGAATGAATCTCATGAGCCAATAAGAATTCAAACGGGAAACGGAACTTTGACGGATGTTTATCATCAGTTTAAATTTTAATTTATTAATTTACATTACTACGTTCACGTATTGTGAAGCGTTAAAATTCTTCACATATTACTCGTTATATTTGTTTAAATCTTGTTACTGATTTATCGAGCTTTAAAAACGAAAAATTTACCCATAAATATTATCAGGTATTTTACGATGAATAAAGAATTAAGTCAAATATATTACTATAACATGAGAAAGGAATTGGATTTATATTAATGAATATTGAGATGGTAATGAAAATGAATAGTTTAAAGAAAGAACAATAATTCAGTTGTTAAATTTATTATAAAATTATGAATTACTTTAGAAATATACATACATTATTTATTTATTTACATTCAAAGTGATTACACATTTTTTTAAAAAAGTAATCAAATGTTTGTAAACTATTATCTTCAAGTTTATTCATAGTTGAAGAGAAGGGTTTCCTTTTATAGTATAAACTATAATAAAACAATTATTGTATACAATGTTTTACTATAAAATAACAATATTAACAATAACAACAATATCTGATACTTATGAATCAAATGCAAATTAAAAAAAATAAATATATTTTGGAACTAATAACGAATTTTACTAAAAACAAAATAATTAAATAGAGTAATGTCATTTTGTACTATGTGTATACATATAAAAAAATTTCTGTTATATTGTTCTCAGCAACAAATATACGATTCTTTTACATCTATTTTCAGATAATTTTTATGAATAACTAATACTATTGTTACTCGTGTTTTCTTCGTCACGTATCTAGTATTTGAATTATTAAATTCCATAATTGTTTTTAATACTACTACTGCTGCTGCAATAGTATTTAGTCCTCTTCAAATACTAGTATTCGAATTATTTTTGGAAAATAATGGTAGTCGATTCTCGCGTGAACCTCGCCTGCAGCCATTTTCATTGTTACTCGTCGGTGTCATTCGCCGTTGTGTCGTTGATAATTCTCTGAAAGAAAAAGATAATTATCACAAAATAGCCTTTATAATAACCTTTCTTTCAGCTTAACAATCGCAGGCTTTGCAAGTGGTTGTTAAGATGTAACATAGAAGCTTGTAAGAGGTTCATTTTTAATTCCGCATTTTTATATTAATTTACCGGTGAATAGAACTCTGACGGTTTCTTCGTGGCCAAAGATGAAAGGCGCCGTATATCAAAGGGTTTACCAAACTGTTGCTCATGCCGAAGAAGAATATTCCGCTTTGCAATTCTTCGCTGAGCTGTAAATATCGTATTTTACTTATTTATTTCAAGAATTATACTTAGGGATTAAAGATACTTCAAATGAGTACATTATAAACGTGAACAATTTTATTGTAATTGAATTAAACAAAATTTATATATTTTATGATATTTTTATGGTAATATCAATATCAGTAATTTACAATAATTTTACAGTATAATAATATGTATTTAATTTTATTTAAATTATCGAGCGATAAAGTTGTTTCATAACTTTTTAATGTGTTTCAAACATTCTACTTGTATAAAATAATATTTTTATATTTTGTGCAAATACATAAATAAATTATTTAATGAAATTGTGGAGAATAATTTTTGTTCTCCAATTCAATTCGACAATTCAAGATTTTGAATTCTAGAAAAAATAATATACTTACGCGTTTGTCAGGATTAAGGAACATAAGTATTATCATCATCGTGTAGTATGGCGTCCACCAAAGGACAAAGGCGGCCACAATTACCACACTGATTCTCAATGATTTTACTTTTGCTCGATGCATTAATTTTCTTCTATTTATGTTTATGTTTCCATTCATGTGGTACATGTTGTTGTTGGTTAATTCAAGCTTGAACATTCGCTCGCTTCCTAAAAGTTATTCGTTAAAATTGTTAATATTTGTCTAAACCTAATATGATGATGTATAATTTTTAAATTTGTTGAACATGTTAATACTTATATAATTTTAAAAAAGACGAATAAAACTTATATCATTGATGTATAGTGTAAATTGTAAATTTCGAAGTTTAATTTGTAAGTTTCTGGATTTGCAAATTGTTAAATTTTTTAATTTTCACCTATCTAAATTCCGTACTTCTACATTTTCAAATGATCAAATCTCTGAATTTCTTATATCTCAAATTTTCAAATTTATTTACTTAAAAATTTTTAAACTTCAACTCCCCAGATCTTAAATTTAACTTCTAAATTGTTATGTTCTAAAGCTTTCAAATTCCTAAATTTATAAATTTTTTAATTTTTAATTTAATTCTGAACTTTTCAATTCTTCAAATTCCTAAATTCCGAAATTTATAAATTCACAATCAGTATATGTAAATTATCGATATTTCAGTACGATCGATAAATATTCATAATACTAAAAAATTGGAAATATATGTACACTACCATCCATAAGTATTCGGACAAAAGCGAAATATGCATTCGCGTTGCATGAAAGTTATTCAAGTATCTGCAACAGTAACTAAAATCGATGTTTTTTCTGCGAAGGTCAGAATGCTGGAACGTTTCTCGATTGATAATTCTCGTTTGGAACTCATATCTCGATGAAAAAGAAACTACAGATGAACTAAACCGAAACTGTCGAGTGCGTAGCGTTACCTCCATTCTTATCTCCATTGAGGGAACCTAAACATCTACTAACAGTTTACAAACACTTGAAACATATCGAAGAACCCTCTGAATAC